GTAGTAGCTGTCCTCGTACTCCTTCTCGTCATCCCTGGACTCGCCCACCTGTGACTCCAGGTTGATCGGCATGGCGAAGAAGTGTCTGGTCGCTGCTGACGCTGGCGGTTGACCCGTGAGTTGCTGCCAGTGCTGCAACGCACTGGAGAAACTTGAAGCTGGTGGGGCTCCTCCTGTACTCGTGTTTCCTTCCGTCGTAACGTAACCCTTTCCTCCTGAGGTAGCCCGTTTTCGTCGGTAATCGTCAGCTCCTGGAGCGTCGCACTTCCTCCATAGATGCTTCTCGCTGTTGCAGTGGTCACATCGAAGTGGCTGTCCGTTCGCGCCTCTCGGGTTGGTCTTCTCGCCCTTGCCCTTGCCCTTGTAGTGTTCATGGGTGTTCCACGTACACCCGGGGCAAAGAGCTCCGTCTCCTGCTTCAGAAAGAAAGGACCATCCACTGTTTCTCTGGAATCTGACCCCTTTCTTGCCCTTGCCCTTGCCTTTGTATCTACGACGTCTTGGAAGTCTGTCTGCTCGCCTCCTCCAGTGCTTCTTGGCCAAAGCGTATACTTCATACAGGTCGCTGTCGCTCATCTGGGCACTGATGTGAAAGGTCGACTCCGCCAAATCGTTGCCGTCGTCATCACTCGTCTCGGTGGAGTCCGGATCCTCCCGGTCGTAGAATATTTTATGGCAATTGCTGCACCAGCATCCTTCGGTATTTGATCCATTCGGTATCCCAGCGACTCCACCGAGTGGTGCACCTGACCTCGACGAAGACGATGCACTGGGATAGTAGGGCATCGGTGGCGGTGGTACTCCCACTTGTGTGCCGGCGTCTTGTGAACTGTCTGTGAAGTAGAACCCATCGCCGGCGCCTGCGGAGTTGGTGAAGTGCTGATGTCTGGATTGATGAGCTGCCTGCGCGAGTCCACTCCGCTCATACAAATGATTCTGACGCCTGATAAAAGAGGTAAGACTTGAAAGCTCCTGTTCATTCGTTGGCAAGTTACCTCCCGTTGGTGCCAGAAATTGCGCCCACTGTGGCGGTGGAATACCAAGAGCATTGAGCAACATCCAAGCCAGATTCGGGATCCCCATATGGAAATTTCCCAGATGCTCAGCCTTGAACTTCAGAAGATCAAATCGAGCCAGAGCTTGGTCAATCGGTTCGCCTGGCCTTCGACGGAAGGCAACTAGGTCGGTCATGCTCGCGATAGCGGTCTCCACCTCCAGCGGCATGAATTTACGTCGCAGCCCATGAATCAATAAGTCTAGCCCCGAACACCATCGATGTCCAGCTCCATCACGTAGGTCCATGTAAACTCCGTCTTGTAATTGATCTGGCGGCACCTCTCTCGATATCTCTCTGGCCAATCCTGATAACTGCAAGACCACGGCTGGAGCAATCGAACGTGCCGGTCTGTCTGTCATCGCTTCCCACATGCGAATATCCGTGATCCAGTCACGGAGTGGATATGAAGATTCCCTGGCGGGGTCCCAGCTCGGTGGCGTCTTCGTATTCGACTGCATGATCTGAGGTCCCGCTGGTGGTCCACCTGCCATCTGTGGAGCGTTGGACATGACGTAGTCGTAGTAGCGCAGTGGTGTCGTGTCCTGGGAGCAGGTACGGGATCGCACCTGCTCCGCTACCAAGTTATTTTCCAGATGCTCACCCTCCCAGGTCAACGCCTCCCGAGGGTAGTAGCTGTCCAGCTCTGCCAGCGCGTCCGCCGACAGGGGTGATACGTGCACGCCGAGCGTGCCAGTCCTGAGAGCCCTGCTGGCCCCGAGGGCCACGAAGAGGGAGAGGACCACGAAGATCGTCGTGATGTTGATAATCTTGATTATCTGATATGGAATGATGGTGGAAAGGGGGGCTGCCGCCGCAAACAGGATTCGCACCCTCAAGAGAGGCTTCTCACTGAATGGCTTGAGCCAAAGCGGCAATCACGCCGCTTTGCCATATACATGCCTCTCTGCACGCTGGGCACTCATGCTTACCCTCCCTTCTCCCGGGAGGACATCTACACATCAACTCCCCCTACCCCTACCCCCCGAGCGAAGTGAACCCCACCCTCCCCCTTGGAAATCGTGGGGGGTAGGGGTAGGGCTCGCACGTGGCCCCCTAACGGAACGCGAGCTTGGCCGCGGGGCGCCAGCCGGAGCTGCGGCCACGAGCGAGATGTCCGATCGACGGCGGCGCCAGCCCAAAACACGGGCGCCGGAGGACGTCTGGGGAGCAGCGCAATGGAAGGGGCTCTCCACAAGAAGTGGGGAGGAGGGAGGAGGAGGAGGAGGAGGAGGAGGAGGAGGAGGAGGAGGAGGAGGGGGAGGAGGATGGGGGGGAGGAGGAGGAGGAGGAGGAGGAGGAGGAGGAGGAGGAGGAGGAGGAGGAGGAGGGAGCGATCAAGGGAGGAGGGGAAGGAGCAGGGAGGGAGGGCAGGCAGAGGGGAGGGAGGGAGAGGGGCGTGGAGCGAGGGAGGTAAGGGGAGAGGGGACAATGAGGAGGGGGGAGTGCGGAGGGAAGGAGGGGAGGGCTGAGTGCGCAGGAGGAAGGAGAAGGATAGGGGGAGGACGGGGGGATAGGGTGGATGGGAGAGGAGGAGATACGAGAAGGATAGGGGGAGGACGGGGGGGCGGAGAAAGAGGAGTAGGAGGAGAGGGGAGTCCCAATGCACGCCTCCTCCTTCATCCGCCCTCCCAACTCGCGTCCCCCCGCCTCCCTCCTTCCCTCCTCCCCCCGCCGAGGAAGGATGACGAACACGTGGCGCGCTGGCTAGGAGCGGATGGCGTGTGCGTGCCCCCGTGTATAGAGGAGATGGCTCGTTCCCACTGCGCCAGGAGGACTGTCCACACAATCATCATCACCATCACCATCACCATCACCATCAGGATCACGATCATGATCACGATCACCATTCCCATCCCCATCCCCATCCCCATCCCCATCCCCATCCCCATCACCATCCTCATCACCATCACCATCACCATCACCACCACCACCACCACCACAATAATCATCATCATCATCATCATCATCATCATCATCATCATCATCATCATCATCATCGTCATCGTCATCAGCATCGTCATCGTCATCGTCATCATCATCCAACCTTCATCAGCAGCAGAAGCAGCGAAAAAATATCACCATCACCACTATGACCATCGGCAGCATCATCATCAAGATCCACATGATCAACAACAACATCAACATCAATATAAAACCACCACAATCCAGGTTGAGCGCTTCGGCCCTTGACCCGCTCTGACGCTGAGCTCCTGCTGCGGAGCACCAGGGGGTCTGGTGCCTGAGCCCTCTCACTCGGGAATGTTGGGGCGGGTGGGTCGGCCCGCTCGGAGAGGATGGCGGATGGGTGGGTCAAGCCGTGCAGGGCACGTGGCCCCGATTATCTGGCAACGCTCCAGATGCGAAGACAGCGGCGGATCTCCACTCTCATCATCATCATCATCATCATCATCATCATCATCATCATCATCATCATCATCATCATAATCATAATCATAATCATCATCATCATCATCATCATCATCATCATCATCATCATCATCATCATCATCATCATCATCGTTATCATAATCGTCATCATCATCATTATCATCATCATCATCATCGTCATCATCATCATCACCATCATCATCGTCCTCATCATCATTCTCATCATCAGCAGCATCAGCCTCAGCATCAGCATCATCATCAGCATCATCGTCGTCATCATCACAATCATCTTCATCATCATGATCATCACCATCACTATCCTCATCCTCCTCATCATCAGCATCGTCATCAACAGCATCAGCATCAGCATCAGCATCATCTGCACCATTATCAGTACCATCATCACCATCGTCATCGTCGTCATCGTCATCGTCTTCATCATCATCATCACATCATCATCATCATCATCATCAGCATCATCATCAGCATCATCATCAGTACCATCATCCTCATTATCAGTATCATCATCAACATCCTTATCTTCATCATCATCCATCATCAGTATCATCATCTTCATTGTCATCATCATCATCACCAGCAGCATCAGCCTAAGCATCAGCATCATCATTATAATCAGCATCATCGCCATGATCGTCATCATCTTCATCATGAGCAGCATCATCATGAGCAGCAGCAGCATCATCGTCATCAGCATCAGCACCATTTAATCATCATCATCATCATCATACTCACCATCATATTCGTCATTAGCATCATCGTCACCATCGTCTTCAGCATCATCAGTATCATCATCAGCAGCATCACCATCTTCATCGTCATCGTCATCATCATCATCGTCATTATGATTGCCATCAGCATCTGCTCACCACGGTCATCATCAGCATCATCATCTGCCATCATCTGCATCATCAGTATCGTTATCATCATCAGTGTCATCATCAGCAGCATCAACATCAGCATCAGCATTATCGTCGTCATCATCGTCATCATCATCATCACCAGCATCATCACCATCGTCATCGTCGTCGTCACCGTGGCCGTAATTGTCGACATCGGCGTGGTCACCATCATTGCCATACATCAACACAACACTATAGCATAATAATCAGCATTGCCCGGAAGCTAACACGTCAGAATCTCCGTCGCCGTAACAATCAATGTCATCCTCCTCATCCTTCTTATCGTCGTCATCATTGCCGTCATCGACATCATCAAAATCACCGCCATCAAAATTGCTCTCGACCTTAACATTACGGACAGACTTCGACATGGTCATCATCATGGTCATCGGCATCGTCATCAGCGCCGTTTCCTCTATGTGTCGACAGCCCCCCCAGAGGCTGCACAATGGAGGACATCACAATTGAATCGCAGCGGTCCGCCTCCTGGGGGTGGGGGCAGAAAAAGGGAAGAGGCGATACAAAATACTGAAATCCGAGTTGCAGCTAAATGTTGGGGCTGCTCGTGAGGACGATGGGCTGGTCGAAAGCTGTATGTGGTGGGATGTATCTGCCAGTGGATCACGAACGAAGTTATTTTATGTCACTCGCGCCGTTGTCCTTACAGAGCCCATTAAGTGAGAAGCCGGGCCCGACGTACCTGCATCGGCGACGGGGCATAACCATGCACCACGGCCAACGCAAGCGCGCGGAAAAAATTGGGCCAGTGAAGTGCGACACGGCTTGGAGCTCGATATCTTGTATTGAGAACTCTACACCTACGATCAAATGCCCCATGCAATTTGTCTCGTTTCCAGCAGACCAGCAACGGAGCCACCGTGCCTATGCCGCCCCCGCGGAGCTCTGGAAGGAGCTCGCTCCTGCAGCACAGACTACTGCTCGTAGCTCGCAGCAGGCTGAACCGCTGGATCGCTCGTAGCAGGAGCACATACTACCAGACACAACAGATCGGAGCATGACTACTTAGTGTAGCTCGCAGCAGCTGCACAAATGTCGGCCGCCCATTCGGCCTGGGCGGCTCCCACCGGGGTGCCCCTACCAGGCGCCCCCCAACAGATCACACACCCTCACAAAATTGCCTCGTCTCATCGGGGGCGCACCCCAGAGCCTCCAGACGTTGCAGGCCCGAGGGGCGCGACATCACTCGGCCAGGCGCAGGACGAGCTTCCTGTCGCCGAGGGAGTTGTCCACGCGCGCCACGGAGGGCCAGAACTTGCCGCGCTCCAGGATCCACTTCGTGGGGAAGGCCGCCTCTTCCCGTGTGTAGGGGTGCGTCCACTCATTGCTCACGACCTCGCCCTGCGTGTGCGGGGCGTTCTTCAGCGGATTGTCGTCCATGGGCCACGTGCCGTCCTCGATCTTCCTGATCTCCTCAAGGGGCCCAAGGACACACACACACACATAAATACACATAATTTCTGGGTTTTTGTCTTCCCCCCCACTGGCCATATGTTCCCATATTCTGGGGAATCGACGATGAAAAGTGTCAGTGTGTTTTGTCCCCTCCTGATCTCCTCCCTGATGGAGATCATGGCGTCGCAGAAGCGGTCCAGTTCGGCCTTGTCTTCCGACTCGGTCGGTTCCACCATGAGGGAATGCGGCACGGGCCACGACATCGTTGGCGCGTGGAAGCCGTAGTCTTGCAGCCTCTTCGCGATGTCCTCCTCCACAACGCCGCTCTTCCTCTTCAGGTTCGAACAGTCGATGATGAACTCGTGCGAGCACCTATTGAAAGAGTTGGTCGCCACGATGTTGAAGTGCGGCTCCAGCCTGGCCTTCATGTAGTTCGCGTTCAGGATGGCGTACACCGCAGAGTCCGTGACGCCCTTCGAGCCCAGCATGGTGTTGAACATCCAAGGGATGCACGCGATGCCCGCCTCCGAAGGATGACCCATGACATCACCATGAACTTTCGGAGGCCAGCGCGAATCCCACCAGCCCTCTGGGCGCATGTGGGTTTGGAGCGCACGAGTTATTGCAATGTCCTCCTTCCCCTTCGGGGAGAAGTGTACCTCGCCCCCTTGTTTTCTTTCCCTCCAGCGAGGCACCGACCAACGTCCGCCACACGAAGTCACCAGACTGGATGCCAGCTGCCGAGTTCACGCAACTACGAACTGCCCAGGCCCGAGGCAAGTGTACCTCGCCCCCCTACCCCCCCCTCCCTGGCTCTCGACGGGGGCAGGGGGGGGGCGACGGGCTCGAGCGTCCAAGACGGCCCAAGATGGCCTCAGCACCACCCCGGAAAGCTCCATCGCTGGTCCAGGGCAGCTCGAGATAACCCACGATGGCTTCCTGTGGCCCCGAAGATGCCTCACAGAAGGCCTGCAGAGCGCATCAAGACAGCGCCGAGTGGCCTCCGAGCCCCCAGTGGATGTCCCCGAGATGCAAGCATCCTTCCAACACCTGAGGATAACAACTGGTGCTGCCGTCTCGCCTCTTCGCCTTCGATCGGCTTTGGAGGCATCAAGATGGCTTCAAGATCGCCTATCCATGAAGGGTCTTTAGAGCCCTCCCCAACAGTGGAAACTAATTTGATGTTCGACGCCCGTATTAAAGGACTGGGGCCCCACCAATAGCGACAAATAAATATTATTCCGCGGCATCCGCCGCGCAACAACAACAACACTAACACTAGCACTAACACTAACACTGACACTAACACGAACACGAACACTAACACTAACACTAACACTAACACTAATACTAACACTAATACTAACAACAACAACAACAACAACAACAACAACAACAACAACAACAACAACAACAACAACAACGACACCAACACCAACACCAACAACACCAACAACAACAGCAGCAACAGCAACAGCAGCAGCAACAACAACAGCAGCACCAGCAACAACAACAACAACAACAACAACAACAACAACAACACCGACGACGACGACGACTACGATTGAGGAGCAGGAGGAGGAGCAGGAGGAGGAGCAGGAGGAGGAGGAGGAGGAGGAGGGGAGGGGGGAGGAGGAGGAAGATGAGGAGGAGGAGAAGGAGCAGGAGGAGCAGGAGGAAGAGGAGGGACGAGTGTTATGGCCCGCCCAGAGAAACAGGGGGTGGAGCAAAAGTAAAGACCCTGATGGGTTAAGGCAGCCCCAAGAGAAGCCCAGGATAACTCCAAGACGGCACCAAGAGCACCCCGAGAGCGTTCCGAGAGGTTACCTCGAGGGCTCCGACGGGGGGAGCATAGTTCGCGCCGCCCGCTTCGTTGATCGATGGCCTCCAAGATGGACCGAAGAGAACCCACAAGGCTTCCAAGAGGGCCTCGACAGAGCCCAAAGAGGGCCACAAGTAAGCTGCCAACTGTAACTATTATTGGTTCGCTCCTGGGTCTGCTCAGGCTGATCCCGAGCTTCGGTTTGACGGCTGCTGTCGCCCTTTTTGTTCTACTGCTTGCTTGATCCCGATCTTCGTCCAGTTTGGCGGCTGCCCCCCCTTTTGCTCGAGCGCTGACTCCTGCACTATTTCGAATCAGGGCCACTCGCCGGGGTGTCGTTTCTGGATGGGCGCGTGGGGATGCACGAAGCATCGAGCACTTCGTGGATGGGCGCCGGAGGCGCCGCCCGAGGGGCCGGCGCCCACGCGAGAAATCCGCGCGGACCTCCGAGGGGTTGTGCTCATGCGGCCGTTCCTTCTTGGACGCCTGGCCCCACGGCGCCGCCGACACGGCGCTGAGGTCGCCGCCAGAGGACGGGGACACCACGGAGTGGTTCGGCAGGTGCGGCGCCAGGTGCTCGCGGACGCAGATCGGGCCGAGCCCGGGGCCGCCCCCGCCGTGGGGGATGCTGAAGGTCTTGTGCAGGTTGAGGTGGCAGACGTCCGCCCCGATCATGCCCGGGGAGGTCAGGCCCAGCTGGGCGTTCATGTTCGCGCCGTCCATGTAGACCTGCCCGCCGCAGTCGTGCACAATCTGGCAGATCTCCTGGATGCCGTCCTCGAAGAAGGCCCTGGTGGACGGGTAGGTGACCATCAGCGCGGCCAGGGTGTCCTTGTGCTCCTCGCAGAGGGCCTTGAACTCGGCCAGGTCCATGCCCTTGGAGTTAGGTTGGGCCTGTCCCCCTACAGGGGGATTTCGGACGAAAGATGATAAATAGTTGAAGAATACCCCTAAATGGTCAAAAACATACTCAAAAATCGTCCCCAGACTATTTTTGGATGATTTTTGAACACTCCCCCTGTGGAGGGACAGGCCCGACTTAACCTTGGAGTCGTCGATCCACTTGATCTGCATGTCGCACATGGCGGCCGACGCCGGGTTGGTGCCGTGCGCAGAGCGCGGGATGATGCAGACGTTGCGGTGGCCCTCGCCCTTTGCCTCCAGGTACTTGCGGATCACGAGGAGGCCGGCGTACTCGCCGCTCGCGCCGCTGGTGGGCTGGAGGGAGGTTGCGTGGAAGCCCGTGCACTCGTTGAGCTGCTGCTCGAGCGACTCCAGCATCTCCCGGTAGCCCTGGGTCTGGCTGCTCGGCGCGAAGGGGTGCATGTTCCCCACCTCCGGCCAGCTGCAGGGCGCGAGGGAGGCCACGGAGTTGAGCTTCATGGTGCAGGAGCCGAGCGAGATCATGGACTTGTCGAGGGCCAGGTCCTTCAGCTGCAGCCTCATCATGTAGCGCATCATCTCCGTCTCGGAAAAGATGGAGTTGAAGATCTTCTGCTGCAGGAACGGCCCTGTGCGCGCGAAGGCATCTGGCATCTTGCCGTCCACCGCCGCCGGCCCCGCGGCGGGCGTCCCGCTGCCTCCGGCCGCCACCACGGCGGCCACCAGTGCACGGACGTCAGACTCCAGGTGCGTCTCGTCGAAGCTGGCGGAGGCGGTGGTCGCGTCCACCAGCCGCAGGTTCAGCCGCTGCCCCTGCAACGTTTCGACCAAAGCCGCCGCGTCCTTCACGGTGAAGCACACCGTGTCGAAGAAGTCCTCGGCGACTAGGATCGGGAAGCCGGCCTTCGCGACATCCTTGGCGAACAGCTGCGCCATCGCGTGGACGCGCTTGGCGATGGCCTGCAGGCCGTCGGCCCTGTTGTATACGGCGTACATGCCCGCCATGTTTGCCAGCAGCACCTGGGCCGTGCAGACGTTGGACGTCGCCTTGTCGAGCCGGATGTGCTGCTCGCGGGTCTGCAGCGTAAGCCTGTACGCGGGGTTGCCGAGGCGGTCGATGGACTCGCCGATGATGCGGCCGGGCATCCTGCGCACCTGCTTCTTGCTGGTGGCCAGGTAGGCCGCCGAGGGGCCGCCGAACCACATGGGCACGCCGAAGCGCTGCATGCTGCCGACCACCACGTCGGCGCCGAACTCGCTCGGGGGCCTCGCGGCAACGAGCGCCAGCGGGTCGGCGGCCACGACGAGGTGCGCGCCGTTCTTGTGTAGGGCGTCGCCGACCGCGGTGTAGTCCTTGAGCACGCCCTTGGTGTCCGGGTACTGCACCAGGCCTCCGCACAGCTTCGGGAGGGCAGCGAAATCCGTGGTCTCGTGGTCCCCGATGATGAGCTCCATGCCGAAGTAGCGCGCGCGCGTCTCCATCACCTCTATCGTCTGGGGGTGCACGCCCTTGCTCACGAAGAACTGGTTCTTCGCCTTGGAGTTGACCGTCCTCGAGATCATGGCCATCGCCTCCGCTGCCGCCGTGGCCTCGTCCAACAGAGACGAGTTTGCCACCTCCATCCCCGTGAGCTCGCACACCAGCGTCTGGAAGTTCACCAGCGACTCCATGCGCCCCTGGGATATCTCCGCCTGGTACGGCGTGTACGCGGTGTACCAGCCAGGGTTTTCGAGCAGATTGCGCTGGATGCACTGCGGCACGTGAGTGCCATGGTAGCCCATACCGATGAAGTTCGTCGCGACGATGTTCTTCGAAAGAATGGACTTGAGGAGTGCCAGCGATCCAGCCTCACCAAGCTTGCCGTCGGAGAGCTTGAGCGCCTCCTTGCTGCGCACGACGGCGGGAATGGTCTGCAAGATCATCTCGTCCAAGTCCTTCACGCCGATGACCTTGCACATCTCCCTCACCGCCTGTCGGCAGCGCGCGGACAAGGTGGTGTGTCGAGGGTGGCAGGGAGGACTTAGATAGAGAAACAAAGGAAACAACATAAGGATACACTTTCGGAGATCCGCGCTGATTTCTAGGATTGCCCCTGCCTGGTGCGTAGAGCGCGCACGCGGAGCGGCGCCGGAGGCGCTCAACGCCGATCCAAGAATTCCGCGCGGAACCCCGAAAGCTTATGCTCATGCCGTGTTCTCTTCTTCGACGATACCCCCTGCCGTCTACACGGAGCTCTTCTTAGAGAATGGAGGGGTAAACAAGGACCGCGACGAAGACTGAACACGGAAGCGCCAGTGTCGATCTTGGTCATCGCCAATTCGTGGATCATCCTCGCGAAGCGTCGGCGGCCAGCGTGGGCCTTGATCAAGATCGGCGTCGACCAGACTCCGCGACACCTCAGTCGTGGTCATCGCGCTTTTTCCCTCGAGAGAGGCCCCCGGCCCATTCCCAGAGCCCCCCTCCTCCTCCTCCTCCTCCTCCTCCTCCTCCTCATTCTCCTCCTCCTCCTCCTCCTCCTCCTCCTCTTTCTCCTCCTCCTCCTCCTCGTCCTCCTCCTCTTTCTCCTCCTCCTCCTCCTCCTCCTCCTCCTCCTCATCTGTCTCCTCCTCCTCCTCCTCCTCCTCCTCTTCCCCCCCATCCTCCCCCTCCTCCTTCTCCTCCTCCTCGTCCTCTATTTTTTCCTTTTCCTTATAAATAATCTCTCCCTGTCGCACCCCGAGGCCAGTTTTTACGGCGGGC